CATATGTTCAGATGAGGCCAACTTCGACAAGGGAGCCTCCGAAATGTCCACCTTCTTCCTCAACCGAGGTTTCCCCAGCTCCATTGTCGACAGGGCCCTCAACCAGGTCCGATCCAACTCCCGCACTTCTGCCCTCACCCCTTCTCTTCCCTCCCGCAAGAGCGATAGGGTTCCCCTTATGCTTACCTACCATCCCATCAGCATCCACATCCAGAAGATCATCAGACGCCATTTCCGCCACCTCCAGCAAGATGCCACCACCGGACACATATTCCCCTCCCCTCCCCTCCCCTCCCTTGTCCGCCTTCCGCAGGGACGGTTCCCTCTGGGACACCCTGGTCCACACTTCCTTCACCCCCAACACCTCCCCACAGCCCTACGGCATCTTCCCCTGTAACCGGCGAAGGTGCAACACCTGCCCATTTACATCCTCCCTCCCCAGTATCCAAGGGCCCAAATATATTTTCCAGGTGAAACAACACTTCACCTGCACTCCCCAGAATCTAGTCTACTGCATTCGCTGCTCACAATGTGGTCTCCTCTACACTGGGGAAACGAAGTGTAGACTTGGCGACCGCTTTGCAGAACATCTACATTCTACTCGCAAAAAAGACCCTGAACTACCTGTTGCCTGCCACTTCAATGCACCACCCTGCTCCCTGGCCAACATCTCTGTCTCTGGCTTGCTACAGTGTTCCAGTGAAGCCCAACGCAAGCTGGAGAAACAACACCTCATTTTCCGCTTGGGGACCCTACAGCCCTCCGGACGCAATATTGAGTTCAATAATTTTAGGGCCTAAACTCTCCCCTGTCCCAGTCCCCCACCCCACACACATTTTGTTACCACATAGCCTGACATTACACACCCCCTGTTGTTAGTCACTAACAGTCCCCATTAACAACTATTCACCCTCCCAGCCTGATCGTTAGCAACTCCTTTGTCTGTCCAACTGTCTTTCTCTGATGAAGGGTCTAGGCCCGAAACGTCAGCCTTTCTGCTCCTATGATGCTGCTTGGCCTGCTGTGTTCATCCAGCCGTGCACCTTGTTGTCTCGGATTCTCCAGCATCTGCAGTTCCTACTATCTCTGTCTTTCTCTCTCTTCGGGCTCTATCCTATCGTTTACTCCCTACCCCACCCACCTCCCTATTTTCTACATATAAACTGTCCTTTTCCCAGCTGCTATTAGTTCTGAGGAAAGGTCACCGGACCCGAAACGTTAACTCTGTTTTCTCCTTCACAGATGCTGCCAGACCTGCTGAGCCTTTCCAGCAACTTTGTTTTTGTTCCTGATTTACAGCATCCGCAGTTCTTTCTGTTTATAAATACCCGGTACTCCGTTTTACCCTGAGGTCACTTCAAGCACGCCCTTCTGTAGTTAAACCTGTTGCTTAATAGTCACCTAGACACTTAATGTGCTTGTGAATATCATAGATATACATAATAGTGTGTCTGTTTGATGCTCCAGTAACCACAACAGGTTTATAAGTTACCAAAGATAACAAGCACTGCCTCATCAAATGCTGAAAGCAAACTGCTATGACAGTGTCTTCGGAGAGATGTTGGGGAAAAGAAACCTAATCATATGTGAATCAGGGACAGTAATAATTGGGGTGGGGTTTAAGCACCAAAAAATGACAAACAATAATCAGCAAACCCGAGAAAGAGGGTCACAACCCCTGGAGGGAGCAAGGAAGGTGATGCCATGTTCCAATCGCCAGGTCGCCTGAAGATGACACAAACAGTGGTTTGAGCCAATCAGCAGCGTGTTGGTCGCAGTTTGATGAGGTAGTGAGCCGTGTGCAGGAGCTGGGCGCTGATGATGGGGGAGGACAGTCAAGTGGGAGAGGTGGTGTTCAGGCGAGGCTGTGGACAGGTAATGGCGGCTCTGGGCCCGGCCCTGGCGATCGGTGACTAACCGAGTGGGGCAGGGCTTCGGGGGCGGGTGGGATTCCCTCTTCTCTTCAGCCCGGGAACTGGGATCCCGCTCACCTGCCTCCCCAGTTTCCTCCTAGTCCAGCCGGCCGCTCATTCTGTCCTTTTCCTCATTTCAGAGCGACGACTCGGATATTTGGGATGACACGGCGCTGATAAAAGCCTACGATAAGGCGGTGACCTCCTTCAAAGTAAGTTCGCTTCATGCACTGAAGTCACGGGGAACTGGTTTAGATCACACGTTCAAAACAAAATCCCCAAAGAAATCGGAAGTAACTGGGGAAACTCAGCAAGTCTGGCAGCATCTATGGAGAGAAAGCAGAGTTAATGTTTCGGGACCGGTGACCCTTCCTCAGAACTGATCATACGTTCAGTTCTGAAGTTCTACCTCTATCATGATTTAGGAAAAGGTCAACATATAACGGGTTCTAACTAGTGTTTTCAATTAAAAATTGGAAGTTATTCTTGAGTAAGAGATTGCGGGTTTACTTTTTGAGACAGTGAATTTCCAGTAAAGTGAATTCCAAAAATATGCAGCAATTCTCTTACTGTATGTTGGGGGTGGAGGTTGGGGGTTGAGAGGGGGGAGATAGAAAAAGTTAACATTTCAGGTGTTTTGACCTCAAAACAATCTACCTTGTGAAGCCTCTTAAGAATACCATTTGTTTCAATGAGATCACCTACCATCCTTCTAACTTCTAATGAAATTTTACAATATTATTTGGAAACATGGGTTTTAAAGTAGAGGTGAATGGATTTTTGCTTTTTAGTTCTGTGAGGATGATTTTTTCTTCTCTTAAAAGATCAGAAACTCCCTTTTTTGTAAGCAGAGTCAAAATAGCATTAAGGTGCAGGGCTGGATGAACACAGCAGGCCAAGCAGTTTTCTGATGAAGGGTCTAGGCCCGAAACGTCAGCTGTCCTGCTCAAGGGTCTAGGCCTGAAACGTCAGCCGTCCTGCTCCTATGATGCTGCTTGGCCTGCTGTGTTCATCCAGCCCTGCACCTTGTTGTCTCGGATTCTCCAGCATCTGCAGTTCCTACTATCTCTGATTCAAAATAGCATTAAAGTGACTACGCAAGGTATCTGATAAGATTATTGCTGAGGTGTTTACTAAGTTGAGCTTTTATGACCTATAGAAGGGGCCCAGAATCCAGAAGCAGGTTGAATTCAGAAGAAAAGATCTGTACAGCAGATCTACTGTTAACAACCTCAGATTCAGTGAATTCGCCTGAAAGCCAGAGAATTGCAGATGACACAAAAATAGGTGAAGGGACAGGTAGTGTTGAGGAAGCGGGGAGGCTACAGAATGACATAGACTTGTTGGTGAGTGGGCAAAGAAATAGCAGATGAAATACAATGTGGGAAAATATGAGGTTATATGTTTTGATAGGAAGAGTAGAAGTATAGCCTATTTTCTAAATGGGGAAAAGCTTTGGAGTCCAAGTACAGGATTCTCTTAAGGTTAACATACAGGTTCACTTGGTGTTTAGGAAGGCAGTTGCAATGTTGGCATTCATTTCAAGAGGGTTAGAATACAACAGTAGAGATGTAATGTAGGCGCTACATAAAGTTCTGGTCAGACTGCATTTGGAATATTGTGAACAGTTTTCGGCCTTGTATCTAAGGAAAGATGTACTGGCTTTGGGGGTTCAGAGGTGGTTTACAGGAATAATCCCATGAATGAAGGGCTTGTCATATGAAGAGCGTTTGAGGACTCTAGGTATGTACGTGATGGAATTTAGAAGCATGAAGGTTGATCAAATTGAAAGTTAGAAGATACTGAGAGGCCTAGATAGAGTTGTCTTGGAGAAGATGTCTCCATTAGTAGGAGAGACTAGGACCTGAGGGCACAGCCTCAGAGTGAGGGGATGACCCTTCCAGAAGCTGGTGACTCTGTGGATCTCACTGCCACAGAGGGCTGTGGAGGCCAAGTCATTGAGTGTATTTGAGACAGAGAGATTGATTCTTGATTAGTAAGGGGATCAAGGCTTCGAGAGAGAAGGCAAGAGAATGGGATTGGGAAAGATATCAGCTATGATCGAATGGTGGAGCAGACTGAGGCTGATTGGCCTAATTATGTTCCTGTATCTTATGATCTTTTGGAATCATCTGCTGAATGTGCAGAAAGTCTCCAAAAATGCATGCAATCTTAGTGACTAGTGACTTAGTGAGGAGAAATAGAAATAACAATAGGAGAAACCAAGGATAGAATTTATAAACCAATAATTGAAATGAGTGACTGATCTTTGTAGCAATGATTGTACATTTTCTGTCCATGTGGAGTGTGTTCTTGCTGCCTTAGTGTCTTTATTTTATGGAATATTTTGAGATTGTAAATTGACTGACCATTAAAACAAACTGGAATTGGATTAGTTTATGATCAAGAGTAGAGAAATTTAGTTTGAGATAGAAGAACATTTTTCAAAGTTTGGAACATGTAGGGCAAATTCTGTGAAACAAAGGGCCAATATCTTTTGTCTTTGCTGGTATTCTATTTACTTAAGATTGACGCTTGCACTGTTCAGTGACCATAAGGGCTAACATGGCTGAGACAGAACCTATCTTCACCTAATGGTCAAATCCAATAAATGGTAAAAGTGGTTTGGTAAGCAGTTAGTCTGATTTTGATGGTGTTATTTGCAGGAAGAATTTTGGGTAAGACAGTGGAACAGCTTCCCTTTTTTTTGTTGGTGCAATCACATCTAGGAGTCTATTTGTTCAGAGTATGGTCAATCATCATTTTATGTGATCTATTAAACAGTAGTACTAAATGGAGAGTATATCTGTGATCCAGTTTGCACTGTTGATTTTTAAGTTTTGCTTGATTGGTTCCTGTGCACACTAATGTTCAAAGCACAGGAAGATCATGGCACAGTTCTGGGCTTTGGATTGCTGTAGCAAGCTAGTCACAGCCCAAAAGGCCTCTCTGGTTTCTATTTAGTGATCCATATTTCCCTCCTGCCTCAGCTATTCTGCTAACGGCATTCCTAGCCAGTCCAAAGGCCCTGCATTTAGAAATGTGCCTGATATCTAGAAATATTGTAGAATCACCAGAGACCCAATGGGGGAAAACCCCTTTAGATCTGTGTTGTATAATGTTTATTTTGCGTATCCTGTTTGCTATTTCAATCTCTGAAGATTGACTGAAATACCAGAGAGACAAGATGAGATGCAAACTTTTCAGCTGTCATATTTTACTTATTTCTCAACTAAGTGCAGAATCCTTCTTAAGGACATGCCATTCCATCTCAATTAGCTGACTTGCTTAACTTTGGTCAGCCTTCTGAAATGGACTGGTGCTATAGGTTTCTCCTCATTAGGCTAGGCTTTCCTAGATCAAACTGACTTTCAAAGTCTTGTTTTCTGTTTTCTCTGTCTCAGTCAATCTGAGTTTTGTGTACATTGTTTTGCCAGTATGGTTTGCACTTTAAAAAGATTTGTTGTTTTCAGAAGAGTGGCCATCCTGAATGGTGGAGTTTGGATCAACTCTCTGACCCTGATTATGGAATTCCAAATCCAGTAGAAAAATAAGGCTTGGGAATCAGAGTTCAGTGCCTGAGACCTGTTTCCACTTCTTTATATCATTCTCTTCCACCACCACCACCAACCCCCCAAGTACTCGGGGAAGTGTCTGGTTTCTGCTTTGTTCTCTGAGGAGGCAGAAAACATTTAAGATATAATGAGGATCTAAGACCCTGAGCTCAGATGTCTATGAAGGTTTAATCTTAAAGGTCCAAAAGGTGTAGGAGTAGAAATAGGTAGTTCTCCACTCGAGTCGGTTCTGGCATTCAGTGAGGTCATGGCTGTTCTAATAATCTACAATCTCCTGATTTATTCCCATAAGTCTTGATTCCCTTAAAAACTAATTAATTTTCTTTCTCTGGGGAGCACAAAAATTTGTGTCAATGATTCCTGGAATTTTTTAATTATGATGATCTCCTTTTTCTTCAGAATGCTCTGAAGAATGGTGAATATATTCAGCCGTATACCAAGGATTGCAGTGGAACTGGAACAAAACAAAAACAGAAGAAAAACAAAAACAGAAAGAAGAGTCATGTGCATCTGGAGAGAAAGGTATAATACCTTTTCTTACTTAGATCCTATAAATTAAAACTACTGGGTATTTTTGGAGAGAATGTAGAAGAGAAGACAGATGTTTAGTGGTCACAGATGTGATTCAGGGATGGTATGTTTCAAATGCAGAGCTCTCTGAAGGAGCAGGGTGAATATCCAGAGGTTGTGATACATATTGATGCCAATGGCAAACGTAGAAAGGCGAATTAGATCCTGGAGATTATAAGCAGCTAAGAAGGAGAAGAATGAGCAGGACCTCAAATAGAGTAATGCTGAATTACTTCCTGTGGCTTATTCTTATGGCAGTAAGTATAAAAATGGAGGACAGCCCAGACGAAAACCTGGCTAGAGAGAGGGTGCAGGAGGGAGGGCTTTGGAATTGGTTCCGTAGATGGTGAGACCTGTATAGGAACAGTGGGTCATTCATAAATCAGGAATTCCCAAACCATGATTCTAAATCCCCATTGGGGTTTCAGGCTGATCTTTCCTGCTCCTGTTTTGCCCAAACATTTGATCAGTTGCTGGAATTAAATTTGATAAGTCACCAATAGCAGATAGAATGCCAGAAGAAGTGAGGTGACAACTGTTAAGGACTTGGCCATAATCTTTTGACACTTCTGGGTAAGTATTTACTTTCTCTTAGACCCAATTTGAGTCAGCACTCGATGCTTAATTGTCATTTGAGACTTTGACAGTTCAAGCAATAGGATATTTTTGTGGCCACAGATGTGATTCAAAGATGATAAGTTGCAGCTGCAGGGCTGTCTGAATGAGCAGGGTGAATATGGGCACCAATGGCAAAAGTAGAAAGAGGGATGGTGATACGGCTGAGGAAATCTTTATTAAGTAATAAAGAACTGTGCTAGGAATAGTGTCCTGCAGAATCAAATAACTCATTGTAGAAAGGGCTTTAAACTAATTAGATGGGGCCCTGAACTGAGTTTAATACAGACGTTGAAACAAATGAGTAGGATTCGTAAGGGTACACAACAACAAAACAGGCCATCCAACCTAACCTAGCCAGCACTTACACTCGACTCAAACTGTCATCTGCCTCAACTCAACTAAATCTACCATTGTAACCTTCTATTCACTTTGCCTTCCGGCTAGTTTCTCCTTAATAATTCTGAAATAATTTGTGAATCTGTGGCTTGCTGTGATGGGGAGCTAAAATTGTCTCTGGATGAAAGCCAGGATGAATGTTTTGACTGAAAGTTTTCACAAATTAAGATATGGATGATGAAAGACATTCGGGCTAGAAACTGATCAAGAATTTGATATCAACAAATGTGGGCTCGATTTTTGAGAGGTTATTTGTGCAGAATATAAGGCTATTATTAGTTTAGCTTGTGAAAAACTTTGTACTCTCAAACACTGGAAATATTGAACAGGTCTGGTAACATGAATGGAAAGGGGAATAAAGTTGATGATTTGAGTCTAATACACTCTTCTGAAGAATGTCATACGGAAACACAAATGTTAACTTTTTTTTCTGCTCCACAGATGCTGCCAGACTTACTGAGTTTTTCCAGGACTTGACAGCTTTTAGTTCACATTTCCAGCATTTACAGTACTTTACCTTTTAAAATATTGATGTTACTTTAAAGCTTTATATTGGAGTTGCTATTTCTCTACACTATTGTGCACAAGCAGTACCAATGTGAACAATGTTATGCAATAGACAACGCTGATGACATAAGTGTGTGTCAATCTTAGGTTTGAAGACTTCTTCCTTATTTGTATTCATGCCTCTTCATATTGTTCTTTGTGTTAATGATCACTTAAGCCAGACATTGACAGCTTGTGAATGACTTTTATCATTTGGTTTTTGTTTTGTATTCAAATGTTTAAAAGACTTCTTCCTCTGAATGAGATATTGATATATTCAGTGCAGTATTTTGTTTTCTCAGTGTAAAATAAGACGCTAGAGAAAATGAAATTTAAGCTATTGATTTCTGTCTTGTCCCAATTCAAAACACAGTGGCGAGTTGGTGACCCCTGTAACGCAGTGTGGTCTGAAGATGGCAACATGTACCCGGCAACGATTCAGTCCGTTAATGAAAAACGTGGAACGTGTGTGGTGATGTATACTGGTTATGGAAACGAAGAGGAGCAGAATCTAGCAGAGCTGCTTCCAGCTGACAGCTCTGAGGCAGAGAATGAGAGTCCTAAACAGGTGAGCAATAATAATTTGTGCTTTTGCTATGCACGTTATCTTTCAAACCAAAATCTGGCAATACTATTTAACAGCTGTTTCCTTTTTTGTGATTAGAAAAATGGGCTCAACCAGCAATCAACAGATGAAAGTGATGCTGTTTCACCTGCCTATAAATCTCGCCAATCAAATGAAACCAAATTAAAAACACCATTGGATCAGTTTACCTGGAATCACTGTCTTCCCCCTCAACCACCACAAATGCCAGGATTTGGCTTTGTAAGTGCTTGAATAGAAATGTCTGGTGAAATTTTATTATTAATTTTTAGATTACATATGTACAAAATATATTTTTTGCCTTATCTCCATAAGTATATTTTTAAAAGAATGTTTCTTTTATGTAACTTACTCTGTCAAGAATTTTAGTTAAGTTGAAGAAAGATTCATTACTTCATGTCCTGCATGTGTGCATCTACCTTGTCTTGAAATTAAAGGATTATTGCCAGATTTTAAATTCTTTTTGCTGTTTTTATCTTCAAGTTACTTTGTTCATCCTGATCTCCTGTTAGTCAGTGCCCTTGATTTCTTGCTCTGTTTCTCGCTGCTGTTTTCTAGTCCATTCTTTCTCTTGTGTCCTGTTTATTCTTCCTCTCAACATGCCCAGCCCCACCATGCCTCATGCTTTATTTTGCTTTTGAGCTGTTTGCAGCTTTTGAGCAGTTTGTGCTCCAGGCATTTTTCTGAACAATGCATGTAACGGGAATGGGAGTTTACTACCTTGTGTGTGCGCGCTGATGCTATATAAGTGGTATTGAACTATATTTAAATGATTCTGTTCAATTCCGATAATTGTATTTACAAAAAAAAAGTAGAGTTCTTTTTATTCTTTTATGTAAAATGTACATTTCTAGAAATGCCAGGATTTGCCCATGCCTAATGCACTTGAGTGATAAGAAGCCACTTTTGAGTTGTGCATCCATTTGAGGCAGGTACACTCATGGTGCCATTAGGAAGGGAATTCTCGCATTTTTCATGCCATGACATAGAAGGAGTAGTAATACAGTTCCAAATCAGGATAGTGTGTGGCTTGGATGGGATTTTGTGGTTCCTGCTGCTGTGATGCATTTGCCGCTTTTGTCCTAGATGGTAAAGGTCATAGGTTTGGGAAGCAATGCATCTTGTAGATGATATACACTGCTGCCATTATATCCCATTGGTAGATGGAGTGTATGTAGAAGGTGGCAGGCAGGGTGCTAATCTGTCAAGCTGTTTTATCTTCAATTGTTGAATTACTTGGGTGGTGTAGGAGCTGCTCTTATCTCAGCAAGTGGGGAGTATTCCATCGCACTGTGTAATGTGTAGAAGAGTCACATTTGACTCGATACACTAATTGTGTTTCTCTCTCCACAGATGCTGCCAGACATGCTGAGTATTTCCAGCACTTTCTGTTTTTATTTCCATATTCCATCATGCTCCTGACTTGTGCCTTCTAGATGGTGGACAGGCTTTGGAAAGTCAGGAGGTGAGTTAATTGCCTTGAAATTCACAGCCTTTGACCAAGTCTTGTAGATGCAAAATTTATATGGATAAGTTCAGATCAGTTTCTTGTCAGTGTATCCTCCTCTAGGCAGTTGTCATTGGAAGATTCTGTGATGGTATTGCTGATGAATGTCGGGGGGATAGTTAGATTCTCTTGTTGGAAATGGTAATTGCCTGGTACTTGCGTTGCATGACCGTTACTTGCTACTTAACAGTACAAAACAGACTATTGTTCAGGCTTGGCTCCATATTGACGCAGACTGCTTAGTGCCAGAGGTATTAAGTGATATGCAGCATTGTACAATCATCAGCGAATGTACCCCACTTCCAACTTCCAACCTTATGATGGAGGGAAGATCATTTGCTGAAGCAGCTGATGGTGTTTGAGCCAGGAGTCTACCCTGAGGTTGACCTTTAATAACCATAATCTTCCTAAAGTGCTAGTATTATTCCAAGCAGAAGAATATAAGAAATAGAAGCAGGGATAGCATGCTCCATTAATAAAGATAATTCTTAGTTACCTTATGTTAATTTGCATTAAGTTTGTTTTTTTTTAGTTAAGGGCTTGTTCGTTTATAGACTTCCAAAATCATGGGAAGTATAAAACAAAGTTGAGATCAAAGTAGAGAAATGAATATGAACAACAAAAGTGATCTCCAATTTTAATTAATCAAGTCACCAGTTGGGACAGTGATTAGAGAAAAAGGTTGGAATTCTTAATGTGTGTGTGTGTGTGTGCGCTTAGAAGAATTTGCTTGCATGGAGGTTATATGTTAATATGGACTTTATAGACTGAATGATCTGTTTCTCTTGCATCTTCTATGTATTTTTATATTGTCATATAATCTGCTTTTTTGTTCTCTACAGCCCGGTGCAAAATTTCACGGTCCACCGCCTTTCCTACCTGGATGGTTACCAACAGTTCCAGCAGGACCACCAGTGAGTGAGTTTCTTGTTATGCAGTACCAAAAACTGCAGGTAGAATTCTTGGGGTGGCTGCTGTGTACAATTAATTGCAGTGTTGTACAGGAGCCGATAAATACTCCTAAACAAAATCAGAAATTGCTGGAAAAACTCTGCAGGTCAGGCAGTATCTGTGGAGAGAAAGCAGAATTAACGTTTTGGATCCAGTGACTCTTTGTCAGACTGATAGTAGCTAAGAAAAAGTTGGTACATAAGCTGGAGAAGGGGTGGGTAGAGTGGGAAGGAATAAATGATAGGTGGTGATGGAACTCCGAGAGAGAGAAAAATGGTTGGGCAGGTAAAGGAATGGTAAAGGTCAGCTCCGGAGAATGAATGGCTGCTAATGGGGATCATTAGTAGCTGACAGTGGGTTGTAAATGGTAGCAGCCCATGTGATGACAAGGCCTGCTATTTGGGGATTGGGGTAACGACATGGGAAAAGGTGCTCAGGCCCTGAAATTATTGAACTCTATGTTCGGCCCAGAAGGTTGCAGGGTTCCCAAGCAGAAAATGAATTGTTCCTCCAGCTTGCACTGAGCTTCACTGGATAAATATTCCTGATGCTTTGATTTGCACATGTAGCATTTTAATGCCTAAATTAATGGGATTTTTGAGTAAGTTGCTGAATTTTTAAGCAATAGTGTGTTGCTACTTTGAGGTTGAATAACATAAAATTTGGTTAGACTTGTTTTCTATGTTTCTTTGATCACAGGTTAAATTGTGCTTTGATGTCTACTCACCACTGTTAATGATCATTTAATGAGCTCAATTTAAAAATGCTTTATTTGTAAAATGTTGCAATATGTCTTTAACTACATTTGTTATATTGAAAATTGTCAAAACGCAGAATTGTGTGGTTTAACTATTTTCTCAATTTAAATTCTTGACTGATTTTACTTTAACAAGTTGTGAAATGTATTAGTGTCACTTTCTATTTTCTTACAGTGCCCAGTGTTGGTTATGTTGCTTGATTTTTATTCTTGGCCACAGTTGGAGTAGAAAAGGGTATTTGCCCATTTTGTTTTTTGACTGAGGTACATGGATGGGAGAACTGGAGAAATTTAGCCAGATTTCAGTTTTACTCTCATTATATTATAGAACATGACCTAATTAATATTCATTTGAAGATTTTTTTTCTTAAAAAGGATTTGAGGCTGCTTACACTGAAATGTAGAGACAGGAATACCTTTTTACCTTTTTGGAAATTTTAAAATATTTCTTCACTGAACTTTACTTCATTCCAATGTAGTTAATTCCGCCTCCACCTCCAATGGGGCCAGATTCAACTGATGAGGATGAAGAAGCTTTAGGAAGCATGCTAATAGCATGGTACATGAGTGGCTATCACACTGGTTATTATTTGGTAAGTAGTTACAATCTGAAAGTAAACTTCTATGAAACCATTAGTCTTCAATTATACATTGTGTACAAGGACTGTAATTGAGTCAATGAGATGATCATAATTTGTGCTTGTGCATTTTATTTTTGTCCAGCTTGATTTATTTTTCATTCTTGTAGTCTTGAATTTTTAATGTTGATGTCACTTAACCTAGAATTTTTAGAAAATATGTCCCAGACACACTCGAAGTATGTACAGTGAATTATGGATCTACGCAGATCAGGAAAATCACATTCAGTTCTCCAATGTGACTTAGTGAGTAAACAGTAGAGCTTTGCCTCATCAATGTTCAGAGGGTGAAATTTGTCCAAGATTATTGCTTTGTATGGTGATCCAGTTTTCCCTAGTCTATCCACAGACAGTTAGTGTGAAGAGGATTGAGTTTGTTTGCGTTCCTTCCTGCCCTGGTCATTTAGCAAATAGGAGCTAGAGTAGGCTAATCAGTCCCCGAGCCTGCTCTATCACCAACGATATCCTGGTTTAACTTCTAATCACCATTTTCCTGCACTAATCTAGTGATCCTGTGGGAGGAAAGAAAATTTTTTTTTAAACATCGAGTTTTTCACACAGTGAATAATTAATTAGATTCTAGAATGCATTGCCTGCAAATGTGGTGGAGGCAGGTTCATTTGAGGCATTCAAGATGCCATTGGTTAGAAATAGTGTGCAAGGGTATGGGGAAAGGTAGGAGAGTGGCACTCGGTAATGATGCTTGTTTGAAGAGCTGGTGCAGGCATGATGGGCTGAATAGACGTCTTCTGAACTGGAACAGTTCTGTGATTCTGTAATTTTAATATTTAGCAAACTCCCATCTTTACCTTAATATAGAAACAGAGAATAGAGGGAATGTAAAAGTAAAGTTGCTTTATTTATACAATTACCCTGATTATGCATTTCTATGCATTTGCTCGCTCACTCACTCATCTTGTCCAAATCACATGCATCTCTGCATCCTCCTCACAGCCCATCTTCCCATCCAGCTTTTTGTTGCCTGCAAATTTGGAGATCTTGTATTTAGCTCCCTCATATAGATCATTTAAATAGTGTAAATGGCTGTGGTACCCCATTAGTCACTGGCTGCCACTCAGAAAATTACACATTTATTCCTCATCTTCATTTGCCACCTGCCAACCAAGTCTGTATTCGTTCCTGTAGAGTATCTCCAATCTCAAGCGCTTTAACAAAATATGCTAATCTCTTATGTGAGATATTACTAAAGCCTTCTGAAAGTCTAAGTAAACCACATTCACTGGTTCCCCCTCATCAACTGTTGAGTTGCATCCTTGAAGAATTTAATTTCACTTCTGTAAATCCATGCTGACTCTGTCCAGTCCTACCACTGTTTTCCAGTGCTCTGCTATTAAATCTTTTTTAATGGTCTGTAGCACTTTCCCAACTACTGATGTCAGACTAACCAGTTTAAAATTCCCTGTTTTCTCTTTTTTAAAATAATTGGGCTACGTTAGCTACCCTCCAATCCATTGGAAGTGTTCAGATCTATAAAATCTTGAAAGATGACCGCTGAAGCATCCATTGTTTCTAAGCCACTTTCTTGAGGACTCTAGGATGTGGATTTGTCAGCATTTAACCTTATCAATTTCCCCAATACCATTTCCCTACTAATACTGATTTCCTTTAGTTTCCCCCCTCTCACTCGGCCCTGTGTAACCCAACATAGCTAGAGTATTGTGTGAATTTCTGGAATCCACATTATAGGATGGATTGATTGAACTGGAGAATTTTAGTTATAAAGAGAGATTGGATAGACCGGGATTATTTTCCTTGGAGCAGTGGAGACTGAGGTGGCTACATAATTGAGATGCGTATAACTGAGAGGCATAGATAAGGTAGACAAGAAGGAAATTTTCCCATCATGAAGGGATCAGTGAGCAGGGTGCACAGATTTAAAGTAAGGGCAGAAGGAGATGTTTAGAGGAGATGTGAGGACATTTTTAAAAAGCAGAGTGTGGTGGGAATCTGGAACTCATTCCTCTGAGCATGGGAGCGGCGTTTAAGAATGTATTTAGATGCACACTTGCGATGCCAAGGCTTATGGATCTTATGCTGGAAAATGGGATTAGAGTAGGTAAGGCTGAGCTTTTGACTGCTGCAGACTTGATGGGCCAAAGGGATTTTTCTGTGCTGTAACCTGTGTGATGCACTCTAAAACCTATTTTCACCAGAACATTGATCATCTTACCTAATACTTTAGGCTCTATTTTGTTTTGTTATGTGATGCTCCTGTGAATCACTTTGTGATATTTCTTATGTCCAAGGTGTTATATAAAAATGTTGAGGACAAAGACAAGTTTGACACCATTGCTCATTCTATTTTTTCCTTAGGGTCTCAAGCAAGGGCGAATGGAAGCAGGCATGGGGAAGAATCCTCGTTCTTAGTTTGTTAGAAAAGTAAGCATACTTATTTTAATCAGTTCCTGAAGGTACTGAAACTTGTATGTTTGCTATTTCAGAGTTGATATCAACCCTGTGATAAATCAATATGTATTAACTTAGATGGTTATTAACCTAGAGAATCTCCAAGCTATTTAGCTGTGGAGGGAATTGGAACCAGAATGATTGTGTTCTTATCCCAGGTTCATGTCCACCTGGGACCATTAAATGAGAAGCTGTTGCTAACGTTTTATTGCTGCTTTCTAATCCAGAAGCACAAAAGCAATTGTAGAGCCCAGTTTAGTGTTCAGACTTGCATTTGAAGCTGATTCCTTTTTTTTTCTGGGTAGCATCAGTCTTTTGGGATGTGGGGATTGGTGGCAAAGCCAGCATTTATTGCTCATCCGATTTCTCCTGAACTGAGAGGCTTGCTAAGCCATTTCAGAAGGCAATTAAGAGCCAACCACATAACTGTGGGTCACACATAGATGAGACCAGGTGAAGACAAAAGATTTTCATTCTCTAAAGGACCTGAATGATCCAGATGGGTTTTAAGACACTGACAATAGTTTCATGGTACCATTAGACCAGTTACTTTTTAACTTCCAGATTCATTAATTGAAGTCAAATTCTACCATCAGCCTTGGTGGAATTTGAATCCTCATCCCAGGAACATTAGCACGGGGCTTTGGATTGAGTCCAGTGCCGTTATGCCTCCTCCCCTCTCCAATTATTTTTATTCATTTTCCTGAACAAAAATAAATAGACACAACCTGAAAATACTTCCCTAATGCTAGAGGGCTCTTGTGCAAAGTGGCAGTGTCTGTACCTCTGCACCAAGAAGCCTGGGTTCAAGTTCCACCTGCTGCAGAGTTGGGTCTGAACAGGTTGATGAGAGAATATCTACTTCCCTTTTAATTATAATTGTTATGGCAAAATGAGATTATCTCAATAAACATTCCATTTTTGTTTGTTTTTTTGAATAACTAATTCCCTAAGGTAAATTGTTAGATGCATCACGTGCTATGATACAAGCTGCATATACTGTTCTGGATTTGTGCGGAATCCTGTTTCTGGGTCTTAGAAGGGCCAAAATGGTAGTTGGTACCTTTGTATGGTTTATATGAACAAGGGGCAAGATTAGGTTACTCAGCCGTTTGGGCCTGCTCTGCCATTCAGTAAGATCATAGTAGATCTGATTTTGACCTTGAACTCCACATTCCTGCATATCCCCTTCATAATCTTTCAACTTCTTGGTAATCAAACATCTACCTACCTCTGCCTCTGCCTTAAAAATATTAAAAGATTCTGCATTCACTGCCTTTTGAGAAAGGGAATTTCAAAGACTCTCAATTCTGAAAGAAAAACATGTTTTCTTGTCTCCACCTTTATTGGATGATCCCTTATTTTTAAACTATGACCCCTTGTTCTAGACTCTCTCATACAAAGGGAACATCCATCTGACATCCAGCTGGTCAAGTCCCAAAGGAACTTGCATACCTAAATTTAAGTCTGATTCTTTTGAAACTTAAGGATACAAATCTAGCATGTCTAACTTTTCCCGATAAGATAATCCGCTTATTCCAGGTATTAATTGAGTAAACCTTCTCTGAACTGCTTCCGACGCATTTCATCCTTTTGTAAGTGTGGTGACCAGCACTGTGCACAGTACTCGGATACAGTCTCACCATTGCCCTATATAATTAAAGCGTAACCCCTACTCTTGCATTCAATTCCCCTTGCAATAAAACATAACACTCTATTAGCTTTCCTGATTACTTGCTGTACCTGCATATTAAGCTTGTATGATTTGTGCACAAGGACACCCAAATCTCTGCAACCTCTCATCATTTATTCTTTTTACTAAAATGGACAATTTCCCACCCTGCCACATTATACTCCATTTCATAGAACATAGAACAATATAGCACAGTACAGGCCCTTCGGCCCACAATGTTGTGCCGAAATTTTACCCTAATCCTAAGGTCTATCTAACCTCCACCCCTACCTTATACTATCATCCATACACCTATTTAATAGCCGCTTAAATGCCCCTAATGAGGCCGACTCCACTATCCTCTCCGGCAATGCATTCCACGCCCCTACCACTCTTTGAGTAAAAAATCTATCTCTGACGTCTCCTCTATATCTACCTCCACTCTCTTTAAAACTATGTCCCCTTGTAATAGCTACCTCCACCTTAGGAAAAAGTCTCTGGCTGTCCACTCTATCTATGCCTCTGATCATTTTGTACACCTCTATCAAGTCACCTCTCATCCTTCGTCGTTCTAAAGAGAAAAGCCCTAGCTCTCTCAACCTTTCCTCATAAGACCTTCCCTCCATTCCAGGCAACATCCTGGTAAATCTCTGCACCTTTTCCAACGCTTCCGCATCTTTCCTATAATGATTCGACCAGAACTGGACACAATACTCCAGATGTGGCCAAACCAGGGTTTTGTATAGCTGGAGCATAACTTCATGGCTCTTGAACTCAATCCTTCTATTAACGAAACTAACACACCACACGCCTTCTTAACAACTCTATCCACCTGGGTGGTAGCTTTCAGGGAACTGTGGACATGAACCCCAAGATCCCTCTGCTCCGTCACACTCCCAACAATCTTTCCCTTAACTCCGTATTCTGCTTTCACGTTTGTCCTTCCAAAATTAATCACCTCACACTTTTCAGGGTTAAACTCCATCTGCCACTTCTCAGCCCAGCTCTGCATCCTATCAATGTCCCTTTGTAACTTAGAACAGCCCTCCGCACTATCCACAACGTGACCCACCTTCGTATCGTCCGCGAACTTACTAATCCACCCTTCCACTCCTTCGTCCAGATCATTTACAAAAATCACAAATAAAAGAGTACCCAGAACTAATCCTTGTGGTACACCACTCGTAACTGAGCACCATGTTGAATATTTTCCATCCACTACCACCCTTTTGTCTTCTAAGGGTCAGCCAATTCTGAATCCAATCTGCAACATTTCCCCCTATCCCATGCCTCCTTACCTTCTGCATTAAGCCTACCATGGGGAACCTTATCAAATGCCTGACTGAAATCCATGTATACCACATCCATTGCTCTACCTTGGTCCACGTGTTTGGTCACCTCTTCAAAGAATTCAGTAAGTTTTGTGAGACATGATCTACCCCTCACAAATCCATGCTGACTATCACGAATCAAACTGTGCCTTTCCAAGTGATCATAAATCCTATCTCTCAGAGCCCTTTCCAGTAATTTGCCCACCACTGATGTAAGACTAACTGGCCTGTAATTTCTGGGGTTATCCCTATTCCAGTTTTTGAACAAGGGAATGACGTTTGCCTGTCTCCAATCTTCCGGCACTATACCCATGGACAGTGAGGACGAAAAGATCATCGCCACGGGTCCTGCGATCTCTTCCCTCGCTTCCCATGGAATCCTTGGATAAATCCCATCAGACCGAGGGGACTTATCTATCTTCAAGTTCCTCAAAATTCCTAGTACAGCTTCCTTACTAACATCGATCTCCTCTAGCCTACCAGCCTGTTTTACACTGTCCTCCTCTACAACTAGGTCCCTCTCAGTTGTGA